TGGTTGCAATGATCCACAAGACCATCTTGATGTGTTCAATGACTTGATGGAGTTACATCAAGTCTTTGATCTAGCCAAGTGTCGACACTTGGTGGTCACTCTTAGCATAGAATTGAAGATAGGTTCAGGTCTATCACCTTGTGGAGGCAGTTAAGTGCCCATTTTCTCAAATACTTCCAAGCAAACCAGAAATTCTTTATGCCACTGAGTTATCTTAGCAACATTCGCCAAGACAAGGATGAAACATTCAAATCCTATATAGAAAGGTTCACCAGCAAACTGAACCGAGTGACAAATACTCTCGAAAAATCAATACAGACTCTGATCATAGTAGGAGTCCATCCACAAACAAACATGTGGAAAGACCTTCAAACTAAGGACCACGTGACCTTGGCACAGTTTTACCGAATGGTGGAAAAATACATGCGAATAGAAACTTAATGACAACTCTTGGAAATAACTCAGGATCTCAACCAAAATCCACATCTAGGCTAGAGATCACTCAAGTGAGAAAAATAGGCTTGACCTAACTTAAAGATGTAACAATGATCAGAAGGATCCAGATAAAAAACCACAAGTGGATTTCAAGAAAACCTTTGCACCCCTCCCATGTCAGCGCTTCGCGCCGTTGACTGCATCGGTTGAAGAAATCTTGTTGTCACTAGCAAAGCAGGACTCCTTCCAAAACCAGTAAAGTTAAAAGGACCAACAGATAGACGTAATTTTAAAAAATATTGTCGATATCAACGAGATATCAGACATGCCGCGGAGGAATGCTACACCTTAAATAATGCAATCAAGGAGCTCAATCATAAAGGTCATTTAAAAGAATTTGTGAAGGATAGGCTAGATCGCATGAGGCATTGGAAAGATGACGTATCATAGCCAAAAACTCAAGAAGAAGACAACATCATCATAGTCATTTTTGGGAGACCTGGTATTGGGGCAAATTCTAGGCGATCTCTTAACCTGTATGCAAGAGAAGCGAGGTCGGAACCATATGCAAATATAAACAGTCTCAGGTTATAACCTGCCAAATGCTAGCGAGCTAACGTTGAACCAATCATCTTCATAGAAAAAGACGCGAGGTAGGTTCACCACTCGTACGACGATGCTCTTATCATTACTGCACACGTGGGAAACCACAAAAGTCCATAAAATGTTAGTGGATAATGGAAGCGCCGTGAACATCCTTTATTATTTAGCGTTTGAAAAGATGAGACTAAAGAATGACATTCTGAAACCAGCGTCAACCCTTTTATATGGGTTCATGGGAGATCATATTGTTCCCCTTGGGCTAATCACTTTACTTGTTACCATAAGAGAGAAAAATCAGACAACTACAATGGCCAATTTTTTGGTCATCAATTGCCCATCCTCGTTCCATGCGATTATTGACAAACCCTTTCTCGAAGTCTAAAAACAGCCACTTCAGTGTATCAGTAGACAATCAAGTTCTCTTCTCCACAAGGAGTTGGTTTCGTTAAGGGATCACAACTCGAGTCACATTGCTTATTAGGGATATCGATCCCATGCAATGATCATTTTCAAGGCCAAACCAAGCTCAAATCTTGTTAACGATATTATTAATCCTCGGGTCATTGAAGAATAATTCACTAGTAGAACAGTGGAAAAGCTATCCAAAATGCCAGTTGATGAGTGCAAACCTGCTTGCATGTTGCAAATAGGAAGTGGCCTCAACAGCCAGGTCGTAAAACAATTAATTATTTTTTTTTAAGGAGAACCAAGATGTCTTTCCCTTGACTCATGAAGATATGGTCGGCATCAATCTGAAATCATTTGTCATTGATTGAATGTTGACCCCGAAAAGCACCGTGTCTCCCCAAAACGATGAGCCATGGATTTAGAGCGCTATGAAATGCTAAAAAATGAAGTTGACAAGCTCATATCCATCGGTTTCATTCGTGAAGCTTGCTATTTGTAGTGGGTGGCTAATCTTGTTTTAGTGAAGAAACCAAATAGCAAGTGGCGAACATGTGTAGACTTCATGGATATGAATCAAGCCTACCCAAAGGATGGGTTCCCACTCCCCATAATTGATTAGTTGGTAGATACAACATCCAGACACGAGCTGTTAAGCTTTATCGATGCATGTTTAGGCTACAATTAGATCCTGATGTACGACCTGGATGAGGAGCACACTTCGTTTATCACCGACCGAGGACTATATTGTTAAAAAGTTATGCCCTTTGGCTTTAAGAACGCCAGGGAAACTTACCAATGCTTGGTAAATCAAATGTTTGTTGAACAAATAAGAAAAACCATGAAGGTGTATATGGATGACATGCTTGTCAAATCTAAAACTATATGGGAGCATGTCAATCACCTCATGGCAACATTCTATGAAAATATAAAATGAAGTTGAATCCGCTCAAGTGTGCCTATGGCGTGGGCTCAGGAAAATTCATTGGATTCATGGTCAGACAACGAGGAATCGAGGTGAACCCTAAAAAAATTATAAGCTTTGCTAAATATGAGAAGCCCAACCAAGCCAAAGCACGTCCAAAGTTTGACTAGGAGAGTGGTAGCCTTATGTCGCTTTGTATCCAAGCCAACATATTGATGCCTCCCTTTTTTCAAAGTGTTAAAGGAAAATAAAAAAATTCAATGGACTAAAGAATGTGAGTGAGCCTTCCAAGAGCTAAAGAAACATTTGGGACAACCACCTTTGCTCGCAAAACTAATTCCTGGTGAAGTACTTCTCCTATACTTGTCAGTCTGATTGTATGCAATCAATGCCTCACTAACACGAGAGGAAGGAAAGGCCCAATGGCCAATATATTACATCAGCAAGAGGCTACTTGACGTAGAAACTCGATTCCCTACAGATGAAAAACCTTACACTCGCCTTAGTAACTGCATCAAGAAAACTGTGACCTTACTTTCACGCTCCCATCACTCAAATGCTGAGCAACTACCTACTGCGCCAGGTGATCAAAAAACTTGAGACATTAGGTAGGTTACCAAAGTGGTCAATGGAATTAAGCTAGTTCAATTTGTAGTATAAGCCACAAACTACAATCAAGGGGTAGACACTTGTGGATTTCATCTTTGAATGTTCTTATCAACCAAAGCAACAGCCAAGTCCCAGTGAACAACAAGACAAAGGGAACACACACCGGACGCTCGAAGTACTAACAGCCTAAAGCTTATACGTTGAAGGGTCATCAAACAAGAAAGGGGCTACAACAAGGTTGCTGTTAATCAGCCCTAAAGGCATACATTTGCATGACGCCGCTAAGTTTGCATTCAAGGCCTCAAATAACAAAGCTGAATATGAGGCCTAACTCGTTGGATTGTGTTTTGCTAAGGAAGTAAGAGCGAGGTCAATAAATGTGAATAATGACTCCCAATTGTGATACAACAGATCCTTGGCAAGTATCAGACCAAGGAAGAAAAAGTGATTACTTATCAACAAAGGGAAAAGACAGAGCTAGGCTCGTTCGACAGTCATATAATCAAGCAAATCCCACAAGAGTAGAATTCCAACACAGATGCTTTAGCATGAATAATGTCTACCTTCAACAACAAAGTTCTTGATGCAATCCTTGCATGGCTCCTTGAGGTCCTAAGCATATTAAACAATAACCCAACAACGATGACTATAGACTAAACACCAATGTGGATGGATCCCATCTTCGTTTATTTGAAAGAGGGGATTCTACCAAAGAATAAAACGGAAGCAAATAACGAGATGCTCATGCGTTTAAACCTAGATATGATTGAATCATATCGCAACACAGCACAACTATGAGCAGCGTTGTATCAACAGAAGGTCTGGAAACATTTCAACTCCAAGGTCAAAATCCAGAACTTCAGGATCGATGATCTTGTATTGAGGAAAGTGATGCCCAATACACGAGAACTCAATGTCGGAGCCCTTGGTCCAAATTGGGAAGGTCCATAAGAACTTATCATTTAAAATAATTAGATGGCAATGAAGTACCTATAGCGTGAAATGTTGAGCATCTACAACCCTATTATCAATAAGAATGCAGGTTGTGTACGATATGAGCAGTAACCAATGTTTTGAAAATCGGACTGGGAGCTGACCAGGCCAAACGGCTGGTTCTCGGTTTGAACAGTTTGATCGGTCCGACCGACTGGTCGGACCGGTGATGTCAGCATGCTGACGTCAGCATAATGTCATGCTGATATCAGCATGCTGAAATAAGAAAAAACGTAAAAAAAGCCAAAAAATTCAAATTCTCTATCTAATTAAAGTTTAAAACCCATAAAAAACAACCCTACAACAATAATTTCTCCATCTAATTAAAGTTTAAAAACCATCAAACCAACTCTACAACAATAATTTCTCCATCTAATTAAAGTTTAAACTTTAAAAACCATCAAACCAACCCTAGGCTACAACAATAATAAAACCATCAAAGTTTGATAGTTAAAGTTTACAAATTCAATCCTCAAGTCTAAAGTCTAAACTCTAAAGTTTCAAACAACATTAAAGTCATTACAAAGTAATATCAATTATCAAATATGAATCCACCAACGGCCAACCATCAAAATTACAAAATATCAAAATACCTACCAATCCACCAACCAACATATAAAATTACATAATATCAATCCATTCCACCAACCCAACCACAAAAAAATTCAATAGAAGCTCACGGTAAGTGAAGGGAAAAAGGAGAAACCAAACAGATTCTTCAACGGGTCAACCCATCCTAAATTGATTATCCACATCATCATCCGAGTATCATCATTATCATCACCATCAACTACAAATTTAGCAAAAATTAAAAACATAAGTTAAAATTTATAATGTACATTGTTTTTTGATATTATAAATTAAAATAGTTACCAAGTTGGTTAAAAGTTAGAAAACAACCTTGTGAACCACCTGCTGAATCATAATAGGGTTGGCCATCAACATCGACAGGAATAGATCCTTCTTCGTAAAGTGCTTGCTCCAATTCATCTAAATTGAAGTCATCACCCTCCTGTTCATCATCAGCAATTCAAAATTCTGTTCTATCAATGCCTTCATAATCGATAGGATCACAACTGCTTTTCTTGTAACACATCCTGAAAGACATACCAAATAAAAATATCACTAAAAATATGAGATAATAAAAATATTAAAATTGCCAATGCTTTATACTTATTTTTCAAACGCAAGTTATAATGGATAAAAACCAAATCATTCAACCGTTGATGCTTCAATCTATTCCTTCTTTTTGTATGGATACGTTCGAAAACACTCCAATTTTGCTCACATCCTGAAGAGGTTGAAGTTTGGCTCAGAATCTTAATTGCAAACTCTTGTAACTATGGAGTACTATACCCATATGTCCTCCACCATTCATCTAATTAAAAGTTAAGAGTGTTTAGTGTTAACCATATGAAATAATCAAATAAACAAATTCATAACTTAGAAATTGGACTTAAAATTGAGAAATTTAATAAGTAGGTCGTGTGGTTCTGCAAGTTTGAAAGGCAAGCTCACGATAAAAGCTTTCCTCGCGATCTCGATATATTCTATTTTCGTCCACTACTCTTGTCTTGTTCAACTTGAATGCACTTGCTTTATTATCGACAACATCAAGGAAACCACGCATAACCTCTAGTTTCTTGCAGAAACTTGCACGATCATACTGAAAAGCCGGATTCAAATAATAAGCAGCAGCATGAATGTCGAGACGCAAAAGCAAATCCCACCGCTGCTTAATAATTTCGGTATAAGGCTTGTACAATGTCTTTCTTTTTCTAAAGAACTTCTTGATCGCTTTTTTGGCTCTGTACATGCCATCATACACGTATCCTATTGCAGGTCTCTGAGTCCACAACTTGCAACAAACGCATCAAAGGAGCCACAATTTTGGAAACGTAACCCATGTTATCCCAAAATTCATTATCTAGAATTATGGGAACAACATTCTTGCCTTTACTACTTCTGGCATATCGAGAGTCCACAAAAAACCTATCAATCACCATAGCTTGCAAGTCATGTTTATACTCATGTAGACTTCTTAATGCAATAAAAGTAGTAGCAAACCAAGTTGCACCCGGTCGTATGATTTCTCTCCAACCCTGTTCAAATGATACATACAATACATAATAGATGTTAGTAAATTATTACAAGATGTTTATTAATAACTTGACAAAAACATGAGTTAAAGGTTTATAAGCTATTACCTCTCTTTTCCTTAACCAAGCTATCAAAATTGTGTGATTATACACAAACTTGGTTACTTTAGAAGCACGTTTTGCAAGAGGCACTATGTGGTCCAACTCAGATATATCTTTCAAAATTAAATTTAAGCAATGGGCTGCACAAGGTGACCAAGTAATATTCTCATACTTCTCAGACAACATTCTTCCAGCAGCTTTATAATTTGCTCCATTATCCGTGACAACATGAACAATGTTGTTTGGTCCAACCCATAAAGCCATTTCCTCAAACAACTTGAATAATGTAAAGGCATCCTTTACAACATCTGAAGCATCCACTGATTTTATAAAGTAAACACCTTTAGGACAGTAAACAAGAAAATTAATCAATGATCTATGGCAAGTATCAGTCCAACCATCAGCCATTAATGTACATCCAACCTCTTGCCAAATCCTCATATAATTGTCAACAATTAATTGGACTTCCTTCTTAGCATCTCTCAACAAATTCACACGCATAGCATCATAAGTAGGTTGTTTATACCCAGGGCCAATTGCAGCTATAGCATCCAACATAGGCTGAAAATAAATTGAATTTAAAGCATTCATCAGGATGTAAGCATCATAAAAGAATAGTGCAACAGACATGTATGCTCTCCACTTTGCATCTTTTCCAGCCAAAACACTCCTAATTGAAGGCTGAGACCCAGAAGTAATTCGTGGAGCAAAATAATTACTAACCCCTATAGTTTTCTTTCTCTTACTACTCGTAAATTGTTTTTTACCGCCACTACTACCACCTTCATTCATGGTCATTTGTGATGGTAAAACCTCTTCATTTTCTTCATCTAACTGATCACCCTCAAATTCATGTACTACAGCACCAAAAGGAGTTGCATGCTTCCGGAAATCTTATTTTTCCTTATTTTTTACTCCTATTTCTTTCAATGATTCATTCATATTGAATCTAACATCAAATGGAACCTTAGGACACTTTCCAATATCCCCTTTTACTCCTGCTAGGTGTTGCTTCATTCTGAAAATACCACCACCTCTAGTAACCTTCCCACAATGAAGACAAGATAATATTTTCTTTCCATCTTTATCAACACTCTCAAGAACATGTCCCCAAGCTATATCGGTCTTTCCTCGAAAAGATTGCGAGGAAATGGATGCGGCTGATGAGTTATGTGTAGACGAAGATGATGACATTCTCGCCCCTGGCAAGTGGCAACCAACAATCAATTTGTTATCCTATATGAACCTAACTACTTTATCACCTTAGATTCATATAGGATATAGAATATGCTAAACCTTATTTCAAATCTCTGGCATTAATTAGTAAAGCCTAATTATTTGCTTCCTTCACTGTTTTTCCCATTTTAGAAAGAGCCAGTTGATATTTCAGTTTTATTTTAATTTCTTAAGGCATTTGGTTAACTAGGACTCTCATTTTTTATTTTTTATCTCTTCATTCTTCAAGTCCATGTAGTTGTGGAACATTCAAAAAATTTGCTCCGGATAGGGCATCACTTGTAAAGAACATTGACTCTATATACATAAAATAAAATTTTATTGTTTTCAAGACACATGAACGACATTCTATTGACTTCCAGTACCACTTTCTCATACCCTATACACATCTTTCTGGCTAATGTTATTTTACATTACAACTTAATTTCTACTTTATTAATCATCCCTAACTTTGATCATGAAGTATCCCTTTGAAGCAAATAAACATATATACAAGATCCTAATAGAATGAACCAATACAAAATCTAAATTTCATTTTGACAATTTAAGGGTTGCTTTTAATCATATGACTTCTTTTAAGTAGTAAACTTGATAGAATCTGTAAGTGTTCATAAATCTGTACATAAAGCATAGAAGATAGAAAAGATAGGAATATGTAGATTGTTACTTGGTCACAGCAAATGGCAGCTTGTAGATGGCGGCAGACGGCGGCAGACGGCAGCAGATGTGAAGGCTGAAGCTGAAATCTGAGCTGAAATGACTTATTTGGCAGATCAGCAATGGAGATGGTGATGATTGAAGAGTTCACATTGAAGACTAGAAGACTAGAATTTGAAGAATGAAGCGCTGAAGCAGAGTAGAGCATATTGCAGACCGAAGACTTGAAGACTGAAGAGTGAAGACGTGAGGCGCTGAAGCTTAACTGAAAGCTTGAAGGAGATTTGACTTCTGAGATCTCGAATGGAGGACACGAAGAGGAGGACTACACTGGAGAGTGGAGGAGATCGTGAATGGTAGTAGCAAACGGCAAACCAGATGAAAAAGTGAAAAATTGAAGAAGGGAGACGGCTCTGTATTAGTGTATCTGTAGCTCAAAAGCAAATTAAAAATGTGTTTTTTAATAAAAATTTTGAGGGTTTGGTTTGAGTTTGACAGTTTGACTTTTATGTATGCGCATGTGATTGTTTTGAATTTTTAAATTTTTTTTATTTCATGTGTTAAACCGGAAATGTGTGGACCAGAAATTTGTTAAATAACGGTTGGACCGTCAGTTTGCTACAGTGCGATGGTCCAACTGCGGTTTGAAACGGCTTAATGGCAAATCCCGGTTATTTGCTCTCTTCAAACCAGAAATGCAAGCGGGTGGCGGTCCGACCGTCCGGTCCGGTCCAGGTTTTAGAACCTTGGCAGTAACTCCTTATTACTACTAAAGCCTCACGAACCAAGCACTCACATAAGTGAATGAGGCCTTGATTATACACACAAGCAAACAATCAATGCCATATGCACTTGTAAAATCCAAATAACCATTTGTGCAGGTTCACGCACATGAAAGGCAAAAGCAATACATGCAAGCAAAGATTAAAAGCTACGTATACGAATAAGGGTTAAAGCTGCAAATATAGGTGGAAGTCTACTGAGGTTGAGGTAAGTCATTAAGGGGATACCCTCATAAAGTCAGTTGCATATGAAGGAATGATGTTATTGTTCGTGAGATAATCAATTTTTCGAAAGCAAAAGCATATAGTAGTACATGAAACCAAAACAGGGCAAAACATGAGTCTTTTTCATTCATGCAAAAAATTCTTTGCATTTACATACGAAGAGAATGAAAAAGAAGGCAACTATCTTTAAGAGTTTGAGGCTGGTGGTCTTTTCTCTTAGGCATATCATTTCTTGAGCTTGTTCTCATAGTCTGATAGGATCACAAAGTAGTCGAGGTGGGGATACGCTTCATAAATGAGCTTGAGAAGCTCCAATGCCATATCCGCGACTTCCCCCTCGACATCATCCTTGAGCTTCTTTAATTTATATTTAAGCACCGCAAACTCTTTCGTGGACGCTTTATTCTCCCACATAAGGTCTTCCATCATCTTCTCTATTTCGTTTGCTTTCCTGTAAGTCTACTGTAACTCCTTCTAAATGTCACTAGCCTCGGCCACCACCTTGTCCCTTTCCAGCTCACAATTTGATAATTGATCATTCAAGTACCCCACTTGATGATCAGAAAGATTTCTCTCTTCCTTGACTCGTTTTCAAGTAAATATCTAGCAAGATGAGCAATTTGCGATCCTTCTCTTTCAACTCCTCATGATTGCGATCTCTTTTCGTGAGCAAGGCATGTGCCGCAACTAGGTACTTTTTGGCTTCAACGAGCTCCTCTTCAGCCTTCTTCAGCTTCTCGTTGTCTACATTTAGGTTCCTCAGAGGGGAGAAGATTTCTTGACAAATCAACGTCCTAGTAGCAAAAGTTTATGAACAAAACTGCTAAGTTAGAAAATTACCCCAAGAAAAGAAGCTCTATTGAGAAAGAAAATAAGTATGCTTGGGTTTGCAACTCCATAAAATGTTGCAACAAAGTTATATTGTTGTGACATTTGAGCTCTTCCCAAAACTCCGTTGTTAGACACTTTGCTAACATCATGGATGAGACGCCCACGAATTATGGAAACCTCCCATCATTTTTGGAATGATTCCTTGGGGATTCATGATGACCATGAGGAGAAGCCCCATGAGACTCGCGAGGTGCGAGCTCGCGATATGAGCGAGACATAGTCAACCTCTACCCCGAAGTAGGATGCTTTGACTTCCTTTTCTTCAAATCAGGATTGGAAGCCTTTTCCTTCCCTTTTTCTTTTGTAGTAGGGCACCTCCTTGCTTCAGGGGCCGCTTGATAAGTTTGGTCATTAGACTGTTGGGCCTTGTGAGCTCTCTCAGATTGTGATTTAGTAGTCTCTACTGCCAATTGAGCAGGTGTAATCAACAAGTTTGAGAGAATTGCTTGCTTAGGAATCTCCCTCGATCACGATGACTCATCATGAGGTCGGGATATGAATTCTCCTTTGCTCAATGAGCGATTGATTGATGGGGGTGAACTTGATCAGAACCCCTCGCTCGCTTGGCAACCTCTGAAGAAGTCGAAGTTTCCTTTGTCCAACCTTTGCGCTTCGTTCGACGATGGCGAGCTATTGTTTTCTTTTTCATCTTTGGATCACCAAGATTCTCCTCAGTTAATTTCTTCAGTTTGGAAACATGGGGAGCGTCTTTAGAAGAAGACTTTGGCATATGGGGATCTCCTTCGAGGAAGGTTTTGGTGAAGTTTTTGTATATCAAACAAAGGTTCAATAAACTGGCTACATGTTAACTAAATGCAATAAGGAAAGAAAATCTTACTCTTGTGAGGAGAAACTTGCATAGGGGGAAAACCCAACCTTGCCTGAGCTTTAAAAAACCCATACTTGTGTAGCTTCTTGGTGGTGAGAAGGTTAGAAATGTGTCAAGAGTTAGCACGAAGCTCGCTAAACTGTCTAACCCAAGTTCGGTCTGCGAGTTAGGTGAAGTCCGCAACAAGGTTAGTTGTACATGAAAAACATGCCTTGCTAAAAAAAATGACGAGATGAAAAAAGGAAACCTACATCCACCTCTAAAGCTCCCATCCCCATCGTACTTGAAAAAGAAATATTTGATCTCTCAATCTCTAGTGTTGTTGGGAGTACCAATAACTCCACTAAGATCTCTCGTCGCACACATGGCAAGGTAATTAGTAAATTTTCCCATATTAGGTGAGTTCACCCAAGACATGCTCCTTATAAGCGATGTACATACTGATTATGCAACGATATGAGTTTGGGCTTAGTTGTAGCAGAGCTATCCCAAAGTGATCCAGGATAGCTCAAATGAAAGGATGTAGAGGGATGCCCATTCCACATTTAATGAGTCCCTTAATAGTCACTGTGAAACCAAAGGGAGGAGCATATGTTGGATATGCCTTGGAACCATTAACAAGTATAGAGATCACATATTATGCCTTTATGCGATCTAACTCTGCCTCTGAGTTCACAGTAGAAGTAAATGAGCCTTGGACATGAGGGTTGCGAGGAACTTGTGCCTTGTTAGTAGCAAGAATGTTTCTACTCTCTCTTTGCTGATTGCTTTCACCTTGAGTAGGAAAAAAACCAGCAAAGGTTGATGTGTCTCCTTGGCCACTTGTTCCAACTCCAGGGGCAGCCTAGTCCTCTCTTTCTCTGTCAACCCTATCCATTTCTTGGTGTACGAGAACACTACTGATTGATTCTTTGTACACCAAAGGGGCCGTTCGCAAAGGAGGAATATCTATTCCTACAGGAGGATTCCTTCTTCTCCTCACTAGTGTCTCTGATAAGGATGAGGAAGAAGTGGAGTAAGATGAAGGTTCAACATCATAATTCTCCTTGTAATGATAGACTCCATCAGAACTATGGTCACTCATCTAGAAGTAAGCAAAGAAAATCAAACGTCAAAACTCCTTTCCACTAATTCCAAAAAAATCCTAGAAATCACTCATACTTATCTTCAAATGCTTCTAGAAAAAAAAATGTTCTTCCATATTCATCCTCAAACTTCAAACTTCAAACTTCAAACTTCAAATATTGAATAACCGCCTCAAACACACAACTACGCATATTTCAAAACAACCCAAAAAGTGTTCACAAAACACCGTAAGAATGAAAAATAGCTAAACATAAAATTTCAAGAAAGAAAGAGGCAATAAACCTTTGCTAAAAAAGAAGCACCGAGGAAATAATGCCGGAGATTTGTTGAGAAAACAAGAAATCCCGATAGTAGTAGCAGCAATTTTGCCAAAGAAAAATGGGGTCAAACGAAGATTAGGGTTTCTCTGAGTTGATAATGAAGAAGATGAAGTTTGAAAATGAAAATGGATAAAATCAATTCACTTCCCTCTTAAGTACTCACTCAAAATGCATCCCTAACCGTCCATCACGCACATTTGGCCATGATCGAAGAAATGGGGGTAAGTAACTGCCAAAGGAATGTGGGGAAATGTACAACCGCCTGTCCAACATTAAATCCACAAAAAGGGAATGTTGTTTCGGTGTGTAGGTACTTATTGCACCAACCACGTCTACATTAAATGCACATAAAAGTCTCTAGTTGGCAGTCAAATCTCTCCATGTAAATAAAACAAGTATTTGAAAGACTAACCGTCAGAATCTCAATAGTCATATCACGTCCCATATACCTTGTGAAGCGACAGCAATGACTCAGACAAGCAATTCGTGAGAAGTTAGACGTCGCATTGAATAGCTCGCTGATGGACGATGACATGTCTTGCTCGCTCTGAAGCACCAACTTCTCGGCAAATGCGGTAACATTCAACCAACTCTGGAATTCATGTACGAAAGAGAGGATGCAAGCTCCTATAGCTCACAACAGCTAACAACATCAACTAGCAATAACCACTGCACTAGTTTGTCAACTCGCAAAGACGGTTCACAACCTCGAAAAGTTTTGAATTTTTAAAGCTTGAATTCAAACTCCAAAAACTGGGGGGTAATTGTTGGGTGGTAAAAACTTGCAAGCTAAGCCATCATCACGTGTCCCCCCAAGATGCCTTGTCATCAAAACATGGGTCAGATCCTTAGAAGACATTTCTTTTGGAGTCATGTGAAGCTTCAAGAGGAAGAAAGTCAACCACCTCTCTAAGACCACATGTCAACCTGCATGTGGAGTACTTCACCCTTAAGGCTGCAAGTTGTCATTCAAGCTATGTGTCAACCCGCATGTGGATTACTTCATCTATAAGCAATCAGTTTGACGTCATGAGTCCGATTGCATTTGGATTGCTTCATACCGAAGATAACCTTCGGAACACCATAAATAGGGGGTTCCCTCCCCAAATCAAGGATCCAAATTTTTATTTTCTTAAGAGCTATAGATAAATTCTCTCTCTAAGACCAAATATCTTTTGTTGTAAAAAGCATCAATAAGATAGTAATGGACATATGAATTGCTTATTGCATCTGAACTACTTTAAAAACTGCTCTTATTTAGTTTGTTATTCACTGTCTCGCACTTAATTTTTCTATACACATCATCACACCAATCAACTAGTTCAGCATCATACTTGCTATTTCTCGGTCTTCTATAGACCCTTTGCGTAGACTTCTTCGAAGGCTTACGTACCTCTCGTTGGTGCAAAAAAACGCATCAACAATTACATACCTAGATCCGATTGGGAGATTGACTCTTCGTATTTTTTGTTTCATAAAATATAATTATTTATTAATCAACTGTTATTTTTATTATTAATAAAAATAGTATGTTATGAGTCATTTGCAATCTTTTAGGGAATCAAACCCTTTCTTTTATCCCCTTTTCAAGAATAATTAGACAAAATTTTGTTATCAGTCATTTGCAATCTTTTGGTGAATTAAAAATATGTTATTTTCTTCCATAGCATGTAAATAAATGGATAAATCTCGTGACCAAAAAAGTTTAGGAATATGAAAACCACCGTCACTCAAAATGACATACGATTCAAGAAAAAAATCAGTTGGAATTAATCAAGAAAACTTGTATAATTGCAGCTGGAAATTTGGTAGAGTTGTTAACCATCTTTGCTGCTATTTAAAGTGCCATTACGCAACTTATTTTTCAACATGATTGACAAGGAAAATTAATGGCCATATGTATTATTATATTGAAGGGTTTTTTATTATCACAAATATAAAAAAAAAAAATGATTAAAAAATTCATGATATATTAAATAATACATCCAAGAATCTTTATCGAATTACTTGATCACCCAAAAATAATTAACAAATCCCATATTAATATGAAAAATATATATAAATACATGTAATTTATAGTAGAATAGCATTACACATAAAAAAAAAAAAAAATTAATATTCTTGTATACAAATTGACATGATAGATTATAATTGATGATTTAATATAAAAGATAAAATTAATAAATACATGAATGACATAATAATCCAAAAATAATGTCACTTTCTATAAACTCTGTAATATATATATATATATAATATGAACATTAAATAACATAAAATGTGAGATTTTTTTTTTTATCATATCTCCCACAAATTCGGTTCATTATTGTTCAGGACCCACTTAACTAGAAGATCTGAGCCGTGCATCACAAAAATCTAGTGGTCATTAAATTCGACTTTTATTGGGCCAGCACGAAATGAGTTGCGAGTCAAATTATACAACTCGCTCAACGAACCGCGTACATTGCACGTGATTCTTAATGACAAACATAAATACACTGATTTGATGACTTAAATTACTAAAATTTTGTATATAATTAATTGGAAATTACAAAGAATTTTATTATTGGATGTATAAAAAAATAAAGGATCAAGCTATTATAATAGAAAATTTTGACGCAAATTTATGATTATTGATTTATGATAATCTAATGGTTTAAAAATTGCTTAATTGATGTTAAAAGTTAAAATATAACTAACTCCAACTTCACATCTAAATCTATTAAATTACATTAAATTAAAGACATCGAATTCAATTTATGTAACAAATTTGTGTAGAAAATTGGTGCTATAATAGCCTAACTCAAAAATAAATTCATTTAATTGTAATAAATTTTGTGATCGGAAGTGTTTGGGCCTGCTTGTACGTAACTTGACTAATTTTTCAGGATTTTAAAGTTAACAATCAGATACACCTTCAAAAGCCTTGAAGTTAACGATTAAATTTACTTCTGAGACCCTTAAGTTAAATACCAAATATACCCTTTAATAATTATTTTTATAACAATCAAAATAACTCAAACTCAAAACCTCAAAAATAATACAAGTCCCTATTTTGAACACTAACAATACTTATTTACGTTTTCGTGTACGTAGTCACGAGCGCGTAAAGTAGTTTCGCGTGACATCACACAAGCATACCGTGCAATTTTGTCAAGGTCAACTAAAGTGACGGCAATTACAAATCACCAACGAATTATTATTCTCCACTTGGCCATAGCTCACCAACCCAGTGGTTTAGCGATATACCATCCCCAAATTTTGCTTCGTGCTTTCCGCCTAAATTTCTCAACCAATCTTTGGGGAAAGTAATAACATCCCTAAGGTTTGTTTTAAATTAGCCTTAGTCTTTTAAATTTTTTTAATAACGTTTAGTCCATGTTGTGAGTAACGATTTGGTCCTTACAATAAACTAATTTAAGGGACTAAAATGTTGATGATAGGATCTGAAATGTTACTAGAATTCTACAAAAGTGAAGGTAATTGAAACTTTAGGGATGAAATAGTTATTATCCCAACTCTCTTTTTATTTTAATTTCTCTCGAATTATTACTCCTATAATTCCGTGTCTTCAATTTCAACCAATCATTTTCGTTTATTTATCTTTAATAAACAATTATTATAATTACCTGAATTTTTATAAACAAATTCCATAACTAAAGGAGATCCTCAAGCTGAGGAAATATAAATTAGAATTGAGGTTATCATTATTTGCCAACTAAAACATATAATTTCGTTGTTTAAATCTAAAAAAAAGAACTAGACACTCGGTAACTAACGACTACAACTGAACAACTAACTAGCCTAAAAGAATATAATTGCTTATAGGTAAACTTCTATTACTATTCCCCTTCGTGAGTTGCGTCCTGTTAACATTAGGTTTGATATTAAACTAAACTAAACCCATTGTGAACAGACGTGAAGGTTCTTTAACAAGAATCAAAAAGAGTAGTTGAAAACAGAAACTGAGGGAGAAAACAGTGAATAAACGATTTATTGTCACTAAACACTAAAGGGTATATTGACCTCTAAACTTGCTGGTTTGGGTCCTTCTGCTTCTTTCTTTACAGTTTCCTCCTCTATAAGTAACCACGGTAACTAGTTCCGTGGTGGTCAAGCTCCAAGTAGTAGATACTAGTCTTCCGCGCAGGGTAGCCCTCAGTGGTCCAGCTCAAGTGAGTCAAGATGGGTCTTCGGCCCATACGAGCTAGAACAAAATTTCTTAAACGAATTTAAATTCTAAAAAATCGTATTTCAAATCCAAAAACTCGTACTAAAACTAAACAAAAACAACCCCCACTATCGACCCACCTCGTACTACGCCAACTCTATGACCTCTCACACTTTCACACATACCGCTTCCGCAACCTGTTCCGCTGCCGACTGCCTGTGTTACACCTGTCACCTAACTTCCGGTAGCCCAACTGGTTAGTCTCTCTCTGATGAGAATAAACCTCGTTTAGGTGGCCAAGAGGAGAAATATTACGATAACAAACCTACCTACGAGCGTGGTCAAGCCAAACGTCCAAAAGTAGAACAAAATGTTTGTTTGTTGTTTCTTGTCAGTATTATGTCATATTGATTGTTCTGGAGATTGAAGATCTGGGATACTTTTGGGATTTGATCAATGCCCTTTTTCTAGATGGTATAAATTTGAACTGGAATCAGAAATCTTTTTTAAATATGGGGTTATTTGTACAATTTGATGGTTTAGTCATCACTTTAAAATGATAATTATGAATTAGTTTTTTTTGTTTTTGGGATTTGGTTGGTTTTCTTTGTGTGGATTTCCTGATTATGATTTAGGTTAAGTATTATCAGGTTTTAGTCATCGATTGCGGTTTCTGGAATTTCCTGTCTTGATGTTTAATGTTCATGTATTTGTTACAGGAAATTGGAGAAAGAATTGAGTGGTGGAAGAACCCATTTTGTGGAGACATGTGGTTTGCCTATTAGCACTTATTTCAGTGCAATGAAACTGATATGGTTAATGGAAAACGTAGATCCTGTTAAACAAGCTATAAAGTCAGGGGATGCTATGTTTGGAACGATGGATACTTGGTTGATATGGAATTTAACTGGTGGTGTGAATGGTGGTTTGCATGTCACTGATGTTTCTAATGCGTCGCGGACGATGCTCATGAATCTTAAAACTCTTGACTGGGATAAACATACCCTTGAAACATTGGGAATTCCAGCCGAAATTCTACCTAAAATTGTAAGTAACTCTGAGGTTATCGGAAAAATTGGCAAAGGGTGGCCGATTACTGGGATTCCAATTTCAGGATGTCTTGGAGACCAACACGCAGCTATGTTAGGGCAGGCTTGCAGAAAAGGCGAGGCTAAAAGCACTTATGGTACTGGTGCTTTTATACTTCTCAACACTGGTGAAGAGATAGTTCAGTCAAAACATGGTCTTTTAAGCACTTTAGCCTATAAGCTTGGTCCAGAAGCACCAACTAATTATGCTCTAGAGGGTTCAATTGCGATTGCTGGTGCTGCAGTTCAGTGGCTCAGAGACAGTCTTGGGATAATTACCACTGCAAATGACATTGAAGGATTGGCCTCGCAGGTTGATTCGACTGGTGGAGTCTATTTTGTACCTGCTTTCAATGGATTGTTTGCGCCATGGTGGCGTGATGATGCACGTGGGATTGTTATTGGAATTACAAGGTTTACAAGTAAGGCTCACATCGCTCGAGCTGTGCTCGAGAGCATGTGTTTTCAAGTGAATGATGTTTTGGATTCAATGCAGAAGGATGCAATGGAGAAGGGTCAGAAGACTCACTTCGTGCTCAGAGTTGATGGAGGTGCTACTGTTAATAACCTGTTGATGCAAATTCAGGTTTGGATTTCACTCTTTTTTCTTTTATTTGTTCTGGTTTTCACTGTCATATGTAGCTTTTCATCTATATCACCGATAGCTATTGTTCTTGTATTCTATTTTTTTGTCATCAATCTTCCCATTGTTGTTCCCTTCCTGAATGATTCCTTTCTTAGTAATGTTTCTTTCTGATTTTTGCAACCATTTTAACTAACCTTTATTCAGAATTTTTTTTCTGGTTTTGCGTTTGTGTGCTTCTCATATTTAAATGCAACATTAGTTGTTTAATCTTGCAAGGATAATGAGAAGGTTCGATTGACAGTTCTTATGGTTACTGTGGTTTTTTTTTTTTTTTTTAATTCAAACTGATGTTTTACTAAACAAAACAGAGTTCGCTAATTGTCTGAGTGTCTCAATTGAAGTTAAAACGTATAAAAAGAAGCTCCATAGGCAATTCTTTTAACTGTTATCTTGATGATTTATGGGCCTATCTTAATTCTATGATGTTTTGTGATGATTTTAGGCGGACTTGTTGGGAAGTCCAGTGGTGAGACCGGCGGACATAGAGACAACAGCTCTTGGAGCAGCATATGCAGCTGGATTAGCAGTTGGGGTATGGAAGGAGGAAGAAATATTTGCTTCAGGAGAAAAGGCAAAGACTTCCACCAGATTTAAGCCTGCCTTAGAGGAACAACTTAGAAAGAGGAAGGCAGAATCTTGGTGCAGAGCGGTTGAAAGAACTTTTGACTTGGCTGATCTCTCTCTTTGATGAATTTCTCACTTTGTGTAGATTCTTGTTAATTCCAGACATTGTTAAGAACTCTTTCCGCTTCTCTAGTAATTTAATAAGGGATTTTGCCCTTTTGGGTTGGATTTGATGCTCTACTAGGTGTGTGTTTTTATACATATTAATTCTAGATCTTCAATTTGATTTGATGCTCCAAAAAATTGCCTTAAGATTTAGGCACCTCTGATCTGATATTCAAAGTCAATATCAGAACTAAAGTTCAAACATTGACATGGAGCTTTTAGCGAAGAAGTGGGGCTGGGAAGAGGGTTATTTTTGAAATCAAAGATAACCAAATTTGGTGTATCCACATCTAATTCCTCCAAGTTATGACAGGGTGAAACTCACAAGTGGTTAAGAATAGCACTTGAAATTGCAATCCTTTTGAGGGATTTGCACTTATCCAAAATAAAACGCTCTAGCCAAGAAAATTTCGAGATTAACTTGTGGAACTCTTGGTCTGTAAAGTTGACAAATGTCTATTACTCCCATACATATAAAACTTGTGTTTTAAAACCCGGCCCGACCGGTTGAACTGGGAACCAGGGCCTTCAGTTGACGGGTTTTAAATTTTGAATGTTCTTGGCAAACCCTAAAGATTAGGACGATAATCGGCGAACAATTGGTGATTGGGATATTGAGGCTTTTGAAGAAGAAGGGTTGGTGAGTCGAAAGGTGGCAACAGGGGTGATTTATGCTAAGTGAAACGAGATCGGAAATAGTAAAAGTCGATCGCTAGAAACAACAAGCTATAGTCGACGATTGGTGAGGTGAATAAGGGTAGGGTGAGATGGGTTTTGGTTGGGAGGCTGACGAAAGATTTTTCGCGATGATGGGGTGTATTGTCGACGTTGGAAACAAGGCCTATTTGGTCTAGGTTGTCGATGTTGCATGTAATTTGAGGTGTTTTTGCAGAATTTTAAACTTGTATGGACTTATGGTAATTTTTAGGGTATTTTTATTGGATTTCAAACCTTTTTACATGGTTTGAAGTCAATTTCTTTACCAGCGCGATAATTCAAAGGTTTTACAATAAGATTCAACCACATGTATTGCCTAAATTTCAGCATAGATAAATTATGCTTGCAGAACCTGAGCAATTTAGCATCAACAATATCAATGAATTCCTTTTACTTGATGACGGGTATGTCTTAATCATTAGTTAATCAGTAATGCTAGGCTTACCGACCCAGCGACCGATTTGACATACTGACTCTGAGTTAAATTTTGAGATTTGGGTTGTTGGGTAATGAGTCGGTATATAAAAATCGATATTTGGGTCGGTAAATATAGTATTACTGTTAGTTAATTGGATTCATTTTGAGCATGTACGCCTTGTATTTTGGGCTCATAGCCCTCCTGTACCTTACAAATCTTAGGCCAGCCTCATTTAATTTATAACGTTCACTCAAATATTTTTGAAAAGTAATTTTATTTTATTTTATTATTATTTTTTTTTTTTATGACCGAGGTGTACGGATTAGTTTATACCCACTTTACCTTATCTCACGAAACCTTAAAATTACTGATCAAGTAAGAGTTCCAATGGCTATCCCTATTATCAACCAATGAGAGACTCGAACTCAGGAAGTCTTTAATAATACAACCAAAAGTCCTTATCGAATCACTTAATCACCCAGAGATAGTTGAAAAATAATTTTTAAGCTACATCAAATTTATCAGTAACCCCATTACTAAATACATCTATTTTATATTTAAAACAAAAAAATCATTTAAAACCCTATTTAATATTGAAAGTAACCTTGTAAACTTAATCAAGTTTTTTGTATACATCCATTTTCCTCAAATTTCAAATTTAAAACTTACGTTCAAGTAATATATTCATCAAACAAACAAATATTTGAAATAAAACAAAATATTTCAATAATTATAAAAATTTAGGGTTTATGAAAGAATTAAAAACTAAAAAAAAAATATGTAATTGTACTGTGTGTTGTTAATTTCTAGTAATTTTCATTAACGATAAATTTGTCACAACAAATAAAATATATAAACATGGAGGACTCTGATAAATTAGATGTGGGTTAAAAGATACTTCCCTAATTTAATTTTACATATTTAAAAAAAGAGTAATGCTACATTTACACTACTTTTTTACACCATTTTCATAACATCATGATGTGGCATATGTCATAACCACACAAATTCTATTATAATATTAAAAATTAAAAATAATTAAAAATTTGTATGGTTGTGACATATGCCACATCATGGTGTAATGAAAATAGTGTAAAAAAATGGTGTAAATATAGCATTATTCTTAAAAAAAAGCATAAAATCAAATTACTAAATTTATTTAAAACTAAAAACCATCTCTTAAAGATTTAAACTCCAGTATATAACAGATTTAAATGCATAATACATTTTTCTTTTATCATCGAGGGTGTCCAAACCAGGTTATATGTACCTCAATTAATATTTTGGGACCCTAAAACTGACGACCAGATAAAAACCTAAATAACCACTCCTATTAGTGTCTGAATGGACTTAAACTCAAGAACTCATAGAACCTATTTTTGCTCTTTTATCATGGCCACCAGAGGTGATTAATGCACGATACTCTCAGATTACTCAACTAAAGTTATTGCAGCTTTGATTATAAAGCCAAAAAGAATAAAGGGGGCGGAGAAAAAGGGGCTGTGATCACTCTCAATATCAAATATCTCCGACGGAAGCCAGCTTCTAATCATAGCATCTTGCTGTTCTTGTTTGATTACTCTATCATTCAAGGTCTTAATATATACACGTCTCACCTTATCAGCGTCTGATCCTTGTTCTTCGAATTTAGCATCTCCCAAGGCCATTGCAGGTGCTGGCTTTAGGAGCATGGAGGCCAAAGTAGAGTCCTGACAGATCATGAATTAGAGTGCAAACCTTCAGAGAAGAAATGACAATATATATAAAGATATAAAGACAGCTTTCTCACCTCCATAGGGCTCATATTATAGAGGATTTTTCGCTGAAATTCCTTTTTCACTATCATGCTTGTTGGAGGCTTATCAGGTCCCAACCCAAACGTTTGTTCATTTACAACTGCGAATTCTGATAAATCTGGGACTGCCTGAAACCATCAATTATAAACCACTTAAATATTAAACTAAAGTTTTAATATTTAACTACTGTTACGATGAAACTTACTTCCTTGACATCTTCATCTGTATTAAAACCGTACTTCAACATGTTGGCTGCAACATAAATGGCCATTTGAATCTTCTTACTACCAAACTTGTGTAAGGCGTCCGTCAAGCTCAGACCTCCTGCACTGTGACCCACCAATATCACCTGAAAATTTATGCCTTCAATTAATATCATCCAGCTAGAAATAAATAAACCAATATTATTTAGATTAAGATCTAACCTTTTCATCCTCAGGCAAATTAAACAAGAAGTCAATAAGTGGCTTGTTATATTCTTCAAAAGTGAAGAGTGTGTTAGGGTCAGATGGATCGATACCGGCGGTTTTAAGGTCAACGCAAGTGACTTTATATCCTGATGTTTCCATAAGACAGCGGATCTTGAACCAGCACCACCCTCCATGACACGATCCATGAACTAAAACAAAGTGAAATTTTGGAGGATTACTCACCCTATCACTCATTTTCTTACCTATTCTTTGCCTTCAGTTTCCTTATTTTTGCAAGTCAAACCCAGAACTGAACTTATATATATATATACTATCACTCATTTTCTAACCTATTCTTTGCCTTCAGTTTCCTTATTTTTGCAAGTCAAACCCAGAACTGAACTTTTATATATATATATATATATTAGGGGTGTTCAAAAGAACCGGTTAGAACCAGAACCGTCGAGTACCCTGGGTTTGGTTCTGGTTCCTACCCAGAACCAGTTGTCAATGGGTAGGTTCTGGTTCCAAATTTTTGGAACCGTTACTGTGCGGTTCCGGTTCCGGTTCCCATAGTTAGGAACCAGAACCGGAACCAGAAACCGAGACTAATATAAAATAAAATTAAAGATTAGGGGGTTAATAAAAGCTTTTATAGAAAAAGTAATGTAAATACATTTATATTTATATTTCATAACAGTTAAAGTAAATTAGTTTGACTTTTAAGAATCTACCTTTACAAAGTAATGGAGTTTATAATTTTGAATTTATAATTTTAATTTTTTTTTGTTAATAAGTGCCAAGTGGGGGGGTGTTTGTAAAGTTTAAGGGTTTTTTTGGATTTTAAAAACATTTGGGGTCATAATTTTACAGGGTACCCAAATCGGAACCGGAACTGTTGTTATAGGTTCTGGTTCTGGGTATCTAGAACCGGAACCGTCGGTTCCGGTTCTGGTTCCAAATTTCAAGGAACCGTCGGTTCCGGTTTCGGTTTTGGTTCCTTCAAAAAGTGTAGGGTACCCGGAACCGAACACCCCTAATATATATATATACTATATATATATATATATATAATATATATATATATATTATATATATTAATTAATATTATATATATATATATATATATATAATGCCAATTACTACGAATACGGCTAATGCCTAAGATTGCTCTCTACAATTCATGCATCAATCAAGCTCCCTGATTTCATGTAATTAGACAATTATATTTCCTTTCTTGAACATTATTTATTTATTTATTATTATTTTTGTATAAATTGAGCTTGTACGAACTTACAATTCATATAAAAATGTACAACCTCAATTTATACAAAAATATAGGGTCCGTTTGTTTTATTATTTTGGGAATAATATTGGGTAGTTGAATATTGGAGTATTGCAAGGTAAAATTTAAAAATTTATAAAAAAACCCCCTAGGTTTGCTAATTTAAATAAACACCCAAATATATAAAATTTTTGTAAAATGACAAAAACACCTCCACCACCGGCAGTGCCAGATTCCGGCTACCACCGCTGGAATCTGATCGGAAAATTGCGTTACGACAAAGACCGGTCAGATCTGGCGAGTAGGACGTGGATATGGCCTTTTCCGGCCAGATCCACCACGGATCTGGCTGGAAAAATTCAGATCTATGTCCAGATCTGGCCGTCGACGGCCGCAGAAGTCCATCTTTGGCCGTCAGCGATAGATTTGTGGATCTGGTCGGAAAAGGCTAGATCGGTGAATTACAGGCAAGTTCCGGTCATGGTGTAGGCCATTGTGATAGATTCCGGCTACCACCGACGGTGGTTGCTAGAATCTGGCAAGTATGGGTTTAGGGGGTGTTTTTGTTAATTTTTAAACTTGTTTTTCTGGGGGTATTTAATGAAATTAATAACTTAAGGGGTCTAAAAATAATTAAAAAAATATACTAATATTTCTCAAATAATGTGCCAAACAATATTTGGGAAATAGGATTGGGAATATGGGTAGAAATAATGTGCCAAATGCACCCATAAACTCTTTACTCTTTCTCTAACATACTTAAGCCGTCTTTGCCTCTCTTGCTTTTGACATGGTATTAAAGCCTCCGGGTTGAATCAGCTTCTGCTCAACTAGCCTCTCTTTTCTGCCCCTACAATTCATACAGATAATCGGTTCACACAATACTTAGCTAGCCTCTATTTTTGACCCTGCAATTCAAAACGATACTCAGTTAGATTTTCTAATGGCAAACAACTAAACATTTGCATCTTTTACACAAACTTGTGGTTTATGACCACAAGCTTGAGGGAGAGTGATGAAATATGAATGTCATGATTGTGGCTAATCACTAAGATTAAGTCAATTACCCAAAATCACTCAATCAATCAATTCCCTGATTAAGTGTAATACATTATTTTTTTTCCTTATTGTATAGCTAAACTTTTGTATAAATAGGTGATTTATTCACAATTAAAAATAATTCAATACAATACAATTGAATTCATATAAAGATATATGTCAAACATACTCTAGCTTTCTTCAAAATATCTCTCTTGCCCTCTCAGTTCTGACAGTCTAAGCACGATTATGCTACTTTCTCTTGGTAGCAAGGTAATTCTTTCATCACTCTCATAATTTATGTCGACGGTATCTTGATCACCTGTAACAACTGCTGAAAACTAGCACAATGCATGCATAATAACAATAGAAAATTGGGCCCAAAGTTTTCTTTTCATTACAATTCATATGTCTTTTATACACAAAGAGTACTGTTTACAAAATTCATTTTAAAAGACAAAACAGGGGAAACAGTGTAGCTATTGCTCCTCGCTTGCCGACGCCCCTCCGACTGCATCAACATCTAGATCCTGTATCCACAAAGGAAAATAACGGGGTGAGCACAAAATAATGCTCAGTAAGTAAAACCCTCTATCTGTCTGTCTGTCCCCGTATGAATCACACGTAATTCTTTCCTTATACTATTTCTGTTTCTATATCTGTTTCTACTAAACATCATGGCCTCATCTTACCGGAGGTACGGCCGGATGGCATTCACACAGCACCATCTCACTCTCCATGACTATCGGGTGGAATTCACACAGTACCAACCCGTTCTTAGTGACTACCGAGTGGGGATCACAAAGCACCTACTCGGTTTTCCTAACTATCGGGTGGAGACCACTTAGCACCTACCCGTTTCTCATGACTTTTGGGTAACGATCACCAAGCATTAACCCGTCTCTAGTCACTGTCGGGTGATGATCACAAAGCATCAACCCGCTTCTACTAAATGTTGGATGATGATCACAAAGCATCAACCCACTTATCTAACAACTAACCGGGTGGTGGTCACAAAGCATCCACCCGTTTCTACTACTCATCGGGTGACGATCACAAAGCATCGACCCATCTCTAAGGGCTATTCGGGTGGTGATCACAAAGCATCAACCCGATTCCCATAACTGTCGGGTGATGATCACAAAGCATCAACCCATCTCTACTACTCTTCTAATTCACTCTATTCTAGCATTTTTCATTCTCTCTACCCTTAGAGTAGTTGCATCCACCAAGTTCTCTACTCATAGAGTAATTGCATACACAAAGTTTCCTACTCTTTCTTAGGTCACTTTTCAATGCACAATTAGTGCCTATGGATGGTTCATCTCCACTAATGCACTTATGAAATGCCAACATGCAATGTTGCAAGAATTAAGGTTCACTACTCATACTCAAACCTCTATTAGGCATTTCATCAAACAACTCAAGTGCATAATAAAACTCTACTATAACAATAATTCTAAATCTTTCTCTAACCATCCAAAATGGGGAGAAACCCCCTCACATAGCCACATAACCTGCCAAAGAAAGACACTTCCAAAAGGGTTCCACAATACCCCTTCAATTCCATCTCAAACTACCTTTCCAACCCACAACTCACTTCTTATATTTGAAAGGTATAAACAATCACAAAGCACTAGAAATCTCTATTTAAGCCTCAATAACATGGCATATAACATGTATATAACATACATACATAAGTGCTATCAAAACCCTAATCAAGAAAATTCCCAAATCTCAACTTGGGTTGGGGTTTACTTACCTTGTTATGGAGAGATTTCACTAACTCTTCCTTTCACTTGGTTTGCTTGACTTTTTCTCTACTCTTAAACAAAAGAACAAAAACCCTCAATATTCAATATATACAAAAACTCACAAAGCTTCACAACCAAAGCAAGAATCCTTACCTTAGGATGCCTTAGGTTGATTTTCTACCCCAAATCACTCCAAAAGCCCTTTAAAACTCCTTGATCAAAAGAAAGAGAATTTGAGAGGAAGCAAGAGAGGAGAGTGGCGATGGAGAAGAAGAATGAAGGGTTTGCAATGACTTAATTCCTTTTAATGAAATTTATACACAAGCATTCCCATTTTGCCCTTACTCTTCTTTGGGAATTCTATCTATATCCTTTGATTCATTACAAACACACCCCCATAGCAACATATTCTCCATGAAAATTCCTTACATTTTACTCCCCACTTTTCCTGCTAATTAGGGGTAGAATGGTCAAATTGCCCTTAGGGAAGAAAATATCTAAAACTTAACAAACATTTTAATCGGCCTGTCGCCGCAGCGAAGAAACTTCTGTCGCCGCGGCGAAACTGTCCAGAGAGTTTCCCCGTGGTTCCAACACATCTTCGCCGCAGCGAAGATTCTCCTTCGCCCCGGCGAAGCTTGGCACACTAAACTTCTTCTATTTTCAACCAATTTCAGGGCAAGCATTCAACACAACACTCAATCAAACAATATTACCAAAACCCAACTCAAATAAGAGCGAAATAGGAAACAATAACTACGTACCTCATGTGGGGTGTTACATCACCAGAAATGATGAGATAGCCATCAGAACACTAAAAGAGCATCTCAACAAATAATTCCGTATCAAAGAGCTAGGAGAGCCAAAATACTTTCTAGGAATTGAGTTGCAAGATCTCCAAATGGTATATCTCTCACTCAGCGCAAATATGTTATGGAGCTCATATATGATTCTGGATCATCAGCTTGTAAACCAAACATTATACCTGTTAAGTAAAATACTAAGCTTACCTCTCGAGAATATGACGGGATATCACCTTTGAAGATGATTCACCACTAAAAGATCTCTCACACTATTACAGACTTGTGGGATGACTTATCTACCTTACAATGACACGGCCAGATATTAGCTATGCAGTTCACATTCTTAGTCAATTCATGCATGGGTCCAAACAATCCCACATGGATGCAGCAATGGAGGTACTCAGATATTTGAAAGGATGTCTTGGCTTGGGATTTCTCTTGCCTCGAAATGGAAATTTGGAAAT